AAAAAAAAAAAAAAAAAAAAAAAAAAAAAAAAAAAAAAAAAAAAAAAAAAAAAAAAAAAAAAAAAAAAAAAAAGAAAGAAAGAAAGAAAAGAAAAAATAAAAAACCAAACTCACATGGGAACCACAGCCCACAAGAGGCAGGTCTGGACTTAGACCACAAGGTCTAACCCTAACCAGACTGACTGCTAGCAAAACAAAAAGATCAGTGTTGTCCAGTCAGCAGATTTTAGTAGAATCCAGAGTCTTATTAAAAAATATTCAAAATGTCTTTTTGATACAGCCCAAAAGTACTCAAACAACAACAAAGAAAACCTTGAGAACTTGTAAGAGCAAAGTCAATTAACAGATGCCAACTCTGAGATAATCTCAATGCTGAAATGATCACATGGAGCATTTAAAACAGCTGTTATAAACATGTTCCATGAAGTAAAGATGAGAACTCTTAAAACAAATGCAAAGGTAAAAATGTTTGATAAAAAAACATTAAAAATGAAAAATACAATAACAGAAAAAAAAATTCAGTGAATGGGCTCAACAGGAGAATGGTGAAGACAGAATATGGGAAGTAAAAGTTCCTCTTCAAAGTTTCCTTTCTTGTTAAAGAATAAATCATAAGTGTGCTAATAACTCTTTGTTAAGCCCTATCCTATGTAGCTGTTAAACATGCCATGCTTACAGGCAACTAGTATATTCTATGTCCTTGTACTTTAACCAAGATATCTGTGCTGGACGTGCTCACAGGCCTGTCCCCACTCACAGCCTATGCCTCTTACCTGTTTAGAAAAGTTTTAAGTTGTTCACCACTCAGGTTTTAGTTTAGATTGCTAGGTCTGGCTCCAACCAATGGAAATCAGACATAGCAGTAAGGACGACCCCAGATGCCTAAGGGATAAATATGTCTGCTTTTCCTTTGTTCATTGTACTCTTGTGGCAAGATGGCTAGCAAAGGTACCCTTCCTGCAGTCCAGGAAGTAAAAATTGCTTGCTGAGAGACTTGAACCATGGGGTGGATTTTGTCTCAGTTCTGTTTTTTCTTTGTGGCACCAAGCATCTGTTTCCAACACAGAGGAAAAGATGAGTGAACTTGAAGACCAATAGAAATTATTCAATATTCATGACAGAAAGGGAAAAAATAGATCCAAATAAGAACACAGAGGCCGGGCGCGGTGGCTCACGCCTGTAATCCCAGCGCTTTGGGAGGCCGAGGCGGGTGGATCACGAGGTCAACAGATCGAGACCATCCTGGTCAGCACGGTGAAACCCCGTCTCTACTAAAAATACAAAAAATTAGCTGGGCATGGTGGTGCG